GAGTAGCATATTTTAAAAAAAGAACGTTTAAGGTTGTTTTAAGGACATTATCGGACATGCTCTATGCAAGCCATTCTAAAGCAGCCAGGGGTTGATTCTAAATGAGCCAAAAAGCAGAGACAGGAGCAATTGTCAAACTTTTGGTGTCGATCATTCGATTTCATCCTGGACACTACAGAAAATAGGCTTGAAGTGTAAAAAACCGAACTTCTCCTTTAAAGTACATGAACACAAAGTAAAAAAATACATATATATTTCTTTTTTTTTCACCTAACTTTATTAATATGAAAAATGACTTCTTGCATATTGGTTAGTATAGTTCCTTCATACTGAAATAAAGTTCTAATAGATGGATTTATTATAAGTATTTATTTAGAGAATATACTTTGAGAAAACTACTTACCTCAAAATGAACCAAGATGGATGGATTTATTTTCTTATAAGATCAAACAGCAAAAGCAGAACAGGTATTTATTGCTAGATGCTTTAAAAGTTTGCTTTTTGGTTATTTGCTCTTAGAAAACATTCAAAGTGATGCTTAATTGCAACATGATGTGTTATATTAACCATGTTCTAAGTTTAATTTTCTGTTTTAACCCCCCCCTTTTTTTCCCTTTTCTGTTCTAGAATGAAGTAAAACGTATTGATTTTACTGAAGCTTTTCATTCTTTTACTGTAAGTCTTCAGTTTCGCCTTTGTTTTGATTCTCATTTTTTTTGTATTTTAATTATCCAGCTTTTATAAAAGGGATGCACCGATTAAAATGCTGTGGCCTTTTTGCTTTATTTTTGGAAATCCTTGACCACCTGTTATCAATTTTACCTAATTCCATTAGGAAAAAAGTAACTTTTAGGGAAAATGACTACAAATGATGGAAATAAATAATTTGAAATGAAGGATTCCAGGCTTCGAAATTCTGAGCTTTACCAGCTTTACTGGTTTTAGCATCTTAGATTAGCAATTAGCATAGCTTGTAGCTGTAAATCTTTTGTGGGTGTATATATTCTACGACAGGGGTGTCTAAAGTTAGCCTAAAATTGTTGATTAGTCTAAACTGGGGGAGGAAGTGGAGGACACTGTCCCTCAAGGACTGACCTTTGACCCCCACTGTTCTAGGAGATATATATTCTTACCTTCATTTAGCTTTTTAGATCCATGCCAACCTTTACAAGATCCATCGTGGTCAGAGATGCATCGAGGTTTAAAGCTCAGAAGTATGAAGAAGAGCAACTTTGCTGTTTTCTGTTAAGCCTTCCTGTTATCTGCTGAAAGTCTTGCGCTCGCTCTCCCTCTCTCTCCCTCACAGCCAGACAAATGTCTCACGTGTAACAAAAAAAGAAAAAGTGTCTTTTTAAGAAGCTTTCGTCACTCATACGAACAAACTGCTATATCAGATTTTCTTCTCTCAGTGACGGCCACCTGCTAATACGGTGCTTTCACTGACTGGAAGGAGATCCGATTGTTTCAACCCAGCAGCTAAAGCTTAAAATGATAATACAATCATTGGCCATTTTTTTTGGTGCATCTCTTATTTCATATTATTTGTTAATTTCTTTTTTTTTTGTGCAATATGACATCCTTATTGTTTCTCACCTTCATTGTGATACCTGTTGTTTTTATTTTTATGAACATGTATTCATAGTTTTGTGCTTTACTGTAGATCATTCCAGTCAGCATTAAAACACATCCTGAATTTGCTGTTAATTTTAAGATACATTTTTTTTTTTAATACTGACTCTTTTCCCTCCCTGATTCTTCCTGCTCAGACGGCGAAAGACGACACTGCATACACACAGGTCAGCGACAAACCGGAAGACTCGTCAGAAAAACCGGCCAGCCAGCCGATGAAGAACGGCTCCTACATCGCCATGTCTCCAGTGGAGGCCCAGAAGTGTTGATTGAGGACTCCCCTCCTCTAGCGTGGAGAATAAGGAGGGGTCTGAGGGAGCAGCACAGGGGAGGTGTGGGATGTTTAATTACCGTGGGTGGGGGAGGACTGGAAACACAGCGGGACACAAAACCAAGATATTGTTTAGCCTACAAAGACATTGATCTTCTTCCTGAGCACTCTTCTGTCTATCCTCCTCCGCTCTACCTGCCAAGCATGGCCGCCACTGCCTGCAGGACCGCAACACAACCTAACCCCTCCCCCACAGCGTGCAAAACATCTCCGTCCTGGTAGGCCCCGAACATGAAGGGACTTCTTAAACTGGAAAGGAGGGTTCAACCAGGAATTAAAAAAAAGGGTTTTCCATAATTACACCGAGGCCAAATTAAAAACGGGGCCTAGATGTCGCTGTCGCACACGGATGCATGATCGTCTGAGCAGACCCCACATACGAAACTCAGTGTTTAGCACTAATTCGAACAAAAGGGGGCGTTGTTACAGTCGTACTCTGTCAGTGTTGCGAGAAGAGGAAAAACTTGGAGCCTTCAGAATAAATAAAGCCCTTATAAACCAGAAACCTTCAGGAGGAAAACCTCCTGGAATCAGGCGAGTTAACAGTTTTGCTAATAAAAATTTACTTAGTATATTTTATAAAGGAAAATAAAAATCAACTGAGCCTTTGTTTTCTAATACGAGTTTGTGCAGTTGCCGGTTAGACACGTTGCACCTCCTGTGCGTCAGTGAATCTGCGTGTGCGCCTTTATTTTGAAACAAACTACTGTTTTCTTTCCTATTGCAGGCACAGTTTAGTCTGAAATCTGATCTACTCATGATTCTCACCGCTTCCTCCTCTTCCTTTGGGTCCCTTAAAACACTATTTACAGAATGGAGACATTCAAAGTCCTCCTTGATTTGAGGCATCTTTGCTTTAAAATGATTGAATACATTTTCAGAAATTATCAGCAAAAAAAAAAAAAAAGGAAACACCGTCTTGACTTACAAGGGAGACTTGAACCTGCTTTCTGCCTTACCAGGGTTCAGCGTATTCTACATGTTCAGATAAGCTGGAAACACTTCTACTGTACATATGTAAAGGGGAACTAACTGAGATACCTCTGACCAAATCCAGCTGGCAGTCCTGGGCGTGCTGAGAGACACTAACTTAACTCCAGTGTCGACACTTTTCCTCGTCCTCACTGCTACCTAATAGAGATGAAAAGCACAATTTGGATTGCGGGAATCTTTGTTTTTTTTTGTTGTATTTACAGCTGATCTGTCAGAGACACTGTCAGGTGCCGTGCTCGGTTCAGACCGGGACCCCGCTGTGCCGCTCGCCGCTGTGCTCTCATTCATTTTGCCAAGGAGCTGCAGGCGTTCAGGCAGGCTCAGCACACAGCACTTGAAAATCCCTGTTTTTGTCTTTCGTCTACTGTGAGTTTTACCCTCTGTGTCCGCCACATTTATCAGACCCCCTCCTCAGGCGCTCTCTGGTAGAGAGTGAATCTAAGGCCATAATACTGTCAACTTTCCTGCACTTTGTCTGGAAAATAGTGCCAGTCTGTTTTTTACGTGTCATTTGTCCTAATTGTTTCAGTTCAAGTGGTCCGCATGAGTTCAGCACATTTCAAAAGTTGTTCTTTGTGACCTGCTTTCAGACACCAGTTGGAGCGTCTTCTTTTTGATATTCTTGTGTTTTTTTTTCTTTTGTATTTGTTACTGCTGCTAAATTTGCCATAATCTATGGTCTCAGATTTGTATTCACCACCTAGTGCTCTCTTCGGGTCTCTGGAGGCTTTTTCTTTCTTTTTTTTTCAGGACCTAAGGATGAGACGCAAAGCCAAAAGCTTGCTGCCATCTAACAGATTAGCAATTAATAATCATCTTTAAATCAATCATACTAAATTCCCTCATTTATTTGATAGAAAAGGATCATTACATATCATAAAGTATTGTTTTAGGGGCTGTTCTAGATGGTTAAAATAACTTTAAAGGGGAATGAGCCACTCTTGCATAATCTTTTCCTGATTTTTCTTAAGTGTCCAAAAGATGTATTCAATTTATTTTTTTTTCTTCAAAACCTTCATAAAATTACTTTTATAAGTGTATTCCTGGAGCTGATCTAACAGTTTGCCAAAGAGCTGAGCTCTTCCCCTTTAGTTAAATCCACTCACTGATCAACCTCTGTATTCCACTGCTATGCATGTCGTCGCCGCCGCCACCTTGTGCAAACTCACAGTTCATAGTCGTTCACCTTGCTTAATATCCCTAAAATACCTTCATCCAGGGAGCAGACTGTTCAAACAGCCGGGCCCGATCCGCACTCCACTCCACCGACCCACGAGCCCATTGGCTCATCCCTGCTCGACCAAAGATAACCCCAATCGATCCGCTCGGGGCGCCGTGTTTGCTCTCTGTGATAACTGCTGTGCCACTAAACCGCCACCGCCTAACTTTGAAGAGTAAGGGAAAAAGAAAAAAAAAGTTTTGCCATCACTTATTATGGGAAGTATTTGCAACCGTGATGTGAACACAGGTATGAGTGTGTGCCTTTAACACGAAGGCAAAAGATTTTAAATAAAGACAACAGATGGGTATTGCTTCGGCTTCTTTCTTAAACTCAGTGCAGAACTTGAGTAATCGGAGCACCTTGAGCAGCAAAATCTCAGTATTACGTAAGACTAAGCAATACAGAGTTGTGGAAAAAAAATTGTGAATGTGTTGTTTTTGTTTTTTTTTAAAGGGGCCACGTGATATTTAAGTTTTTCCAAGTTTTTGTAAGTTGTATTACTTTCCTTCTTATTATAGAGTGATTTAGTACTTTTCTTTTGTCCGCTCATTTTGTTGTCGATCCTTTCAATCTTTTATTTGTATGAAAAATATTTAAAAAAAAGTGTAAAAGTTGGATCAGTTAGTAACCCAGTGCTGTGAAAAGTCTGTGAGAGTGGTTAACATTTCTGTCAAACTGGAGTGGTTGACTGGAAGGCTGATTATCTTGACTGGGTGTAACGTATCTAGATGAATGAAGCCCTCCTTTGCTAATTTAGTGCCAAACCATTCCTTCTGTTACTCTGACTGATCTGTTTTGTTTTTGTTTGTTTGTTTTTTAACAACCGTCTCCCGGTTTTGATATCCTAACAGACATTTCCTTTGAGATATACTAACTTGTTTTGCTGCTGAAGATGACAATCCCCAACACTTTTGTCATGTTAGGTGCAAAATGATTTCAAAGTAATATTCCTTTTTAGTTTTGATAATTTACACTGCACAAATGTTTATACAGTGCTTTTGTAAACATTTCTAGTGTATTTGCAAAAAAAAATAAAAGGTTGCAAATAAGTGCAAAATTTGAATGTTTCTGATCTCTTCTTTTTTTAACATCTAATTTGAATCAAATGGAAATGAAACCTAATTAAATGTTTAGTTTAAGAGAAATACACACATTAGCCTCCAATGTCAAAGAGTAAATGTATGAAATAGATAAATAAATGACACAGCATTGTTTATCTATTACAGATCATCTCAAGCTCAGTAAGGTTTGATGTAAGTGCAGTTTATAGCAATTTATTGGTGGTTAGTTCAACTTTGATTAGTGATTCTTAACAGGGGGTATTTCTACTCCTAGTGGTTTTTGAGTGCATTGCAATCAGTACATGAAAATATTTTGTTTCTTAGGTTTTAAAATCAAACAGGGCAGGGATCTGTTTTCCTTTGTGAGGACCCAATTAAAAAGAATAGTCTTTCATCAACCACAAATTTTTTCTTTGGATTCACCTTCAACTTTGACTCTCATCCAAACCAAGCTGGTGAACAGCCTGGATGTAGAGAACAGCCTGGGATCAGCTGTTTTTCACACTGAGCTATTGAAGCTCATCAAAGCAGCTCGAGTATCTTGATGAAAACAAAGAAACTTAATTTAGTCAGCCTGACTGTAATTTTTTTTTCTATATTTTATTCCCAATTCCTCAAGTTTAAATATGATTTTAAGGGAGTTACTCAAAAGGAATTCCAGTTTTAAAAATACAGGTTTATAATAGGATTTTATTTTGTATTTGTATTGTTTCCTTACTTATTTCATGCAACATATTTATGGTCTTTTTTTTAAATGATTAAAAGTATTTTATAATCAGTTTTTAAGACATTTGAAGGACATTTCATTAAAATACTGTGTAGACAAGTCCATCTGATTTAAATTAATCCCCAAAGCATGATGCTCCCACCTCTATGCCTGTCACAAAGCATGCTGTTGGCAGGTGCACAGCACCGCCTCCTTCCTGATTGGATGTTTCCAGTTTAGGGCCAAAAAGTTAATTATTGGTTTTATTAAATCTTTAGATTTGATCTGCAGTATGGAGTGACTTTCTTCTACCAACTCTCCTCTGAATTTTTGGAGCATATTTGCTGTGGTCCAGTCTCTGCATGATTATTTTGCTGAGGATCCAACCTTTGAAATGAAAATTTGTACTCTACTGAAAGTCTGAATTATGAGTTGAAAGGTCGGGCAACACGACCATACTTGGCCTCCTTATTCAGGCTGCTCCTCATTTCAGTTTTTTTGCTTTGACAATTTTTTGTATACATACTTGGTTTCAGACTTTCTAAGATTGGATTTTCAGTGCTGTTTATAAGCACCAGATAACACTTAAGTGATTTTGTTTTCAGTATTGTAACAGTGGCTGTAGTGACCAAATAGATACCATGAAGAATACAGACATCCAAGCAGCTGGATCGCTGTCATCTCTGATATTAAATCACTCTTATTTCCTCACTTCCAGGCTAAATGATGCACGTTTATCACCGAGTTGCCATTTAGGAACCGCATGTCTACAGGCATTTTCTTTGTTTTCGTTTTTTAGGTTTTGTTTAATATAAACTTTTGACTGTGATCGACAGACACAAACTGACTTAGCCTGCCCTACTGGAGTCAATTCTATTTACTTTACCACAAATCTTATTGTATCTTTTGATCATATTTAATTTTTTTTCCTTCTGTCAAGCTTTAGAGACGACATGTGAATAGGCTCTATGTTAATAAGTGAAACTGAACTAAAACCAGTGTGTGCTATTTAAAAATAATAGTTTTCCACGAGTGGGAACACATTTTCTTTGTGTTTTATTACAAAAACTGTACTAATTTTAGTAGTGTTTTATTACAAAAACTTTACTAATATGTTTCAGATCCTTGTTTCTTTGTCACTATGTACTATTCATTAAAGATCTTTGAAAAAAGTTCCCAAATCGGTCTTAATGTTTCTTTAAATGTGAGTAAAGAGGTTTGAATAATCTGATAAATTGAATAATTTTTTTTTAAACCCTAGTTAATGCTTTTTTCTGCAGGTTACAATAATTCAAAATCCAGGAAAAGATTAAGATTATTTTTAAACAGTTTTGCCAGAAGTGTTGATGAATGCAGTCTGCACTGCTTTGATGATCATGATGTATAGTTTTAAAGAAATGGGATCATAAAGAGAAAGTCAAAGAAGTATCAGAATTTCAGAATAAAACACAATCTACGGCAAAACCCTGAATTTGGGCCAATCAAAATAGTTCTAATACGTCAGTAACTCAGTCTGGCATTCGGCTTGATACTGAGATGCAGTTTAGATAGCCCTTCCAGCCTTGAAATTGTTACTGATTAAACCTCTTTGGCCCAGCATTTCTACCCTGAAATCATGGGCCTTGACTCAGCATGACTTTCCAGTTTTTTAAAGAACCTTGATAGTTTTATTTAGTTCCCTTTCTCCAACAGACTGTAGAGAAAGAGCTTTGCAAAACTGCTCAGTGGACTCAGGGCTACGCCCTTCAGAAATAAGATGTTGAAACAAAAGCAAAGCATGGCTTTACTTTGCGTCACTGTTTTGACTGTGAAATCCTCAGCTGAAAGGCATCAGGGTTTTTCAGGGAATACATCAGGTCACACGTTGCTGTGGTTCAGATTAAAAGCGATCTACAGATAAATGCGTGAATAAAAACACAGCAGCAGCCTTGTCTTTATTATTCAGCCTGCTGGCCTCCAGGGGTTTCTCTCTGCTCTTATGAGAGTTGTTACGCTTTTACCCTAAAGGTGATCAACCCGGGGTCCGTAGACGTCAGCGTGTCCTTCACTTCTTAGATTTGGTTATAAGGCTTAATTGACCTTTTTGTTTTTTTGTTTTAAAGCCATTTTGAGTTTAAATGAAGGAAGATATGAAAAATGAGAAAACTTAAAACTAGATTTTGCATAAAATCCTAAATTACCGGTAATCCAAACATTTTAGTTTTACTTCTATGACGAATTACAATTTCTATTTAACTTGTAGAAAAAACTGGGAAATCATATTTATGTCTTTCATGATTTATGATGCAGTTGCCTTTAATCTACCTTAAACCTTGGATTAAACTTTAGTATCCTTCACCGGGCTTCTAATACAAAATATCTGGACCTTTGATCCTTTTCTCCTGGCAGAACTGGTGTCTGAGTCAGTTTTTTAGGCTCATCACGGCTCACAGACTTTCCATGAGACGGAGACTGAGCTGACATTGTTGTCTTTACTCTACTTTTTAACTATTTTGATTTAATGTCAAAATGGCATTCAGAAGTTGGAACAATGCTTTTTGCATTACTTCTGGTTGACAGTGGTGTTGGATGTAGGAGTCTGCCCTAAAATACAAGGGCTGATGGTTTCCAACCCTGGCTCTGACTTGCGGTGTCGATTTGTGCTTGGGCAAGACACTTTAACCGCATTGCCTACTGACGGTGTTCAGAGGGTCTGCTGGTATTAGTGTGCAGCAGCCTTTCTTCTGTCAATGGGCAGCTGTGACTACAATGTAGCTCACAATCATGAATATGTGCCTAAGTGCGTGAATGACTGAATGCAGTGTACAAGCCATTTACCATACCTAAAGAATTTAAAGTTTTGTTTCATCAGACCAAAACCTAATATTTCCTCCTTTGAAAAGTGGCATTTTATCTCATGTTTTTATACCGTTTCTTGCATCATTGCCAATGATGTTCTCTGTATGTCCTTAACAATATAATTGTAACTTAATTATACTTGTGCGAAAATTATTATTTTGATGTCCGCAGCTCTTTCATTGGTATATCATATGAAATTGTTGTTTTTTGAGTGTCTGATGTGTTGGCCTAAGATACATCACCCTAATTAGAATCATATAATTAAATTACATCAATAGCTTTTCTATTAGTTTAAGGAATACTTTCTTAGTCTAGATAATAAAAAATATATAAATAGTAAATATTTAGCTAATATATTTATAAAAGGAAAAAAAAAACATTCTGTCATTCCTTTAATCGTAAGCAATATAATTGTGGTAATCCTGATTAAGTGAACAAGGAAAAAGTTGCATCTCGTTGAAATTCCAACAGTGAGAGCAAAATGTATTTTTCTATGTAAGTTTCCAGAAAGTAAGAAGGGTTTAGGAGCAAAATATTTCAAAAAATATGAAACAAAAACAAAAAACAAAAAATATATATATATATATATATTTTTTTTTTTACTTTCTTTCATTTATCAAATTTTGAATAATTGAATAATTAATATAAATCAAAATGCTACATTACGTACTGACATTGAAAATAACACTGAAGCAAATGAGTTGTTGCAAAAATGTAATGAAAACGTTGGTACATTAAGACTTTTTCAAAAGATGAATCCGTTACCACTGTTTGTGACGGAACTTGCCAGTTGCTCTTATTTTTCTTTAACTAAACGCAACTCACTCTGTGTTCTGGGACATGACATCCTGACTGGTTCATGGGACACGTTTGGGACCTTGTCAGTGCTGTCATTGGAGAAGAATAACAAGCTGTTGAAAAAAAGAAAACTAAATGTTCTGACAAGCGACTATTTAAAACAAAGGGCAAAAGAAAACACATTACATAAGTGTTTTTAAAGTGGTCACTTTTTAATACATGTTGCTTTCCTTGCTTTGTATAAACAAATGCCTTGGAGGTCCCCACAACTGAGAGGACTTTAAATTGATATTTACACTGACCTTTGACAACACTTGAACTTTTCTTCTGTTTGATGACATTACAGACACTAAGTTCAGTCTATATTAGGACCAGGACTCTGTGTGATTCTAACCCATCAACATCCATCCATCCTTTTTCCGTCACACTTTTTCCCAGTTGGGGTGGCAAGGGGTGCTGCTGCCTACAAATCTCCAGCTTATCCATCAACACACTTTGATCTAAACAGCCCCATCCTCTGCTGCACTTTAGGCCTGCGTTTCTGCTTGAAGGTGAACTCTCCACTAACTCTCATCTTTTGACCTCTTATTAGCTCCATCGGGCTCTCATTGTTCCTGCCTAAGAAAACC